CCCCATACAATTGTATACACATTCCCCATACAATGTATACACACTCCCCATACAATTGTTAGGGCTGATGTATTGTAAGCAAGAACCTCGACAAGGGCTCCGCTCTAGGGTAACTCTAAATACTGACGTACACCACTCCCTGCACCTCTATGATATAACTGTCTATACCTATCACGTGACTTAGACGGTGACTAAGTCACTGGCCTACACCACTCCCTGCACCTCTATGATATAACTGTCTATACCTATCATGTGACTTAGACGGTGACAAAGTCACTGACCTACACCACTCCCTGCACCTCTATGATATAACTGTCTATACCCTATGGTACCACTCCCTATACCTAACTCCCCGCCTGTTTGCTGTGTGCCTTAGACGGTGACTGAGTACAACCCCTACGCCTCTGATGGCGCGTGGTACCTCAAGCGCTACCGCCGAGGGAAGTACCGGTCACTGCACTATCTGTACCACATTGTGGCCACCAACAGCACTGTGACTATGGGCCGCGCTTCGGTAAGTTCTATTTATAGCACTGTTGGTACTATTTATAGACCTATGGGCTCTATTTATAGAACTATGGGTTCTATGTATAACACTATGGATTATATTTATAGCAGTATGGTGTGTTGATGCATGCCTATCTGTGGTTGAGGATGTATTTGTGGTGCTGGTTTGAGTAGAAGAAAGTACCGGTCACTGCGCTACCTGTACCACATTGTGGCCACCAATTGTGACTATGGGCCACGCCTCGGTAGGTTCTATTTATAGCACTGTTGGTTCTATTTATAGAACTATGGGTTCGATTTATGGCGCTATTGGTTCAATATATAGAAGTATTGGTTCTTTATATATAGCGATAGCATGTTTGTGCACAACTAGTTGTAGATTGTGTGCGTACGTATGTCTGCGTGTGCTGGTTTGTGTGCTACAGAGCTTGGCGTGCTGCGTCAGTGGATATCTATATCCTCAGTATACTGCGATCGTTGCACTGTCGTCTTGTGTAGTGCGTAAAGATGAGAGTGTAGGTAACGGGCAGTCAGTAGTGGTGCGGCATATGATATGTTCTGGTAGGTATCTACGTACCTTTGAACCTATGTAATCATGTATCTATTTATCTATGTACCTATGTATATAGTTATGTACCTACGTATCTATGTATCCATGCATGTATTATGTAGGTATGTATGTATGTATAAATGTATGTCTGAATAAATCTATGGTGTGCATGTAGCTGTGCATTTGAGGTGTGTACAGTATTCATTGTACTTAACATACACATAATGAACACCTACAATGCAATGTGAATGTCAGACTTATCTGTTTGATTTTAAATTCGTTTGTTGTATTACCTATATACACATATATATATATATATGTGTGTGTGTGTGTGTGTGTGTGTCTATGTGTGTGTGTGTGTGTGTGTGTGTGTGTGGGTATGTGTATGTATGTATGTATGTATGTATGTATGTATGTATGTATGTATGTAGGTAGGTAGGTAGGTAGGCATGTATGTATGCATGCATGTAATATGTATGTATGTATGTATGTATGTGTAAACCATCTACCTCTTACTTATTATGCAGACCGCGGCCAACAGAGAATCTTTTTTTCAGGTGGCTATCATACTTACACTGGAGCGTGTCTTCGTCTTCATACGCACGAATCGGAGCAAGAAACATCATCTGGTAGGTGGTGTGTTGGCAACGATGGCTCACAACATTATGACTCTATATCTAAATCTATATCTAAATATATATATGTATACGCGCACAAACACATACATCTATATATATATATATATATATATATATATATATATATATATATAGTTAAGTACGTACGGTACGGTACGGTAACCGTTAAC